GGCATATAAAAATGATAAAAAAATGGTCTCACGAAACACAGAGCCCATAGGCGGAGTTTGACATTCGAGCCAGGGGGGGCAAAAAAAAAAAAAATCATTGTAGCATTCATTCATTCATTCATGTAGCAATCATTGTCGTTCGGACACAATTAGGATAAATGAAATGTGGACCACTTTTGCACTGTTAAAATATTATCTTCAACCAAAACAAAAAGATTTTTAGTTTTTCTTTTCTTTCCTTTTTTCAAAACACATTGTGGCAATGAGAGTGATTAAAGTTATATTTCGCATTTTATTGTACTTCATGAAACATTTAAAACATTTTGAGACACGGGAAAAATGAACAGTCACACAATAGCCTACTCTCCACGTTTGAAACACAATTGTGGCAATGAGAGCGATTAAAAAAAAAAAAGTTATTTCGCATTTTGTTGTAGCCATTTCATGAAACATTTAAAACATTGAGACACGGGAAAAATTAACGGTCACATAGCCTACTCTCCACTTTTGAAACATATTGAACAGCATATTGAAAGCAGTGTGTTGAGTTTTTCTCCATCTTAAGCAGTTATTTGGCAGAGAAATAAAACTTACAGACCTAGATTGCTCAGACTAGTGCAACAGTAATTTTCGTTTTTTTGCGTCCTGCGTCGATAATGGTCTCAGGTGAGAGCTTGGCCGTAATGTCGCTTTCGATGTGAAGGATCGCAAGAGAAGAAAACCTGGCTGCTCCCATCGTCAACCGCAGCCTGTTCTTTATCCTCTCATGGAGAGTCGGCCTGGCATGAATAATACAGCGGTTTTAGTCCTTTTTGGGGATCCATGTGAACGGACGTGTCTGTACGCGAAAAACACACAGGAAATTCCTCACTTACCGCGATACTTTGAGATCCGCCAGTCGTGAGAAAATTAGCTTCTTTTTCAATACAGTAATTAAAAATAATTTAGCCTTAACTTACTCATTATACCCGCAAAAATGATAAGATAAGACAAATAAAATGAGAAAATATGAATACAGTATTTTTTTTTTTTTTTCAAAGCACAAGGCAGGCATTAATTGGCTCTGGTCTGGGGGGGCAGTGCCCCCCCTAGCCCCCCCCAAACTCCGCCTATGACAGAGCCCCTTCCTCCTACGTCTTTTCAGCGGTTATATTTTCCTCTGTTGAGCGATTACTCTCATGATCGCTCGACAGAGGAAAAGGAAATGATTATAAAATGCAGAAGGTATGGAGTGTGAGATTTCTGCTTTTTGTTACAACTATAAACTTTGATAACGAAAAATCTGTATCCGTTTATTATAATACTCTAATCTTTTAAAATGTAATGCATACATTTGAATGTTTAATGATTTTTAAAAGATAGAAAGATAATAATAGACAGATAGATAGATAGATAGATAGATAGATAGATAGATAGATAGATAGATAGATAGATAGATAGATAGATAGATAGATAGATAGATAGATAGATAGATAGATAGATAGATAGATAGATAGATAGATAGATAGATAGATAGATAGAATATGATTCAGATGTAAATAAGACAGATTGTATATAATTCAAATGTAAAATGCTTAAAATTACACATTAAAATTACTGTGCAAAATCCATGAAAATCCTGAAATTTGGCAATGATAATTAATATATTACAGGTATTTCTGCTGCAACCCAGAAAGCCTTCGCTAGCCTTGGTCCATTAAAACCACTATTCATCAGCATGCATTGATTAATCCCATGGTATGTAGCAAAAAAAAAAAAAGAAAAAAAGGTGCGACCAAATCATATGCTGGTGCGACCAACTGAGAAAGTTGGTAGCACCAGTGCAACCAGTGGAAAAGTTAGTCTGGAGCCCTGTATTGTATTTGTATTTTTTACTATTTATTCTTTGGACATGGTGTGCAAATACGTCACAGGTTTGGTGTTTGGCTTCATGTCTTCATTTTGTTGAGTGGTTTTTGGGTCCAGCTCAAGCACTCTGGCAACATAGGAAAACTTTGAAGTCATTGTTGACATGGACTTTGATGTTGTCCTCCATCACTTTTGAATATATGAAGGTTCACTGACAAGCAGAGGACACTAGCACTCTTTAGACATCAAACATGACGGAGTGAGCGACCAGCATAAAGCATTTGTTGTGTGGAGTGCATTGCCATGGGCTGTCATCCTGAGACGGCATTAATGTCTAAAACATTTCTAATCACTTTCTCCACCATCTTTAACAAGCATGTCCAAACACAGGGTTTTAAAAATATATTGAGGTCCAAAATCGGTGCTTGCTTGGGGGTTTCAAAAATTGAATAACAATAGCTTATGAAAACATAACATGTGGGTTTAGAATGACAAAAGTTTCATAGGTAAATGATAAAGAATGATAACTCAATTTTCCTTTTTAGGTGAACTATCCCTTTAAATAGTAAGCACTATTTCTTTAATTTTCTCTTTTTTACAAGAAACTGAGTAGGAGACAAATAAAGAAAAATAGTTAAAGAACTAGATTTTATTGTAAAGAAGTGCATTTGGTCTATTTGGAAATAAGACTGTCCTAACCACAACCTATAAACCCACTTGTCAAAGCCACACACTTGGCCCTATTCTACTGCAGGTCTAAGGATGATAAGTGAATTTACTGAAAGGCCATCAAGAAAATGCAACCAAGTAAATTAAATTCATTCACAATATGCACACATTCATTTGTATGCTGAAAACGGCTCTAGTTGAGCTGTTTGCACCGCTGTATTTTACTGTTGGTCGTTTAACATTTCAAACGTATCACAGTTGTCAACTATTAAATGTTTAGCTACTTACTTAAATCTTACACCTCACTTTTTGACCAATAAAACTGAAGTTTCATGCTGTAATTCACACTTTGCTTCTGTAAAAAGTAACAGTAATGCCCACCTTCTTTGATTTGATTGCCCATCTCAGTCCAACATGAACTATGTTTCCATCCACCTATTTTTATGCCAATGTTGGGATAAAAACCACTGGATGCAATTGGCATGTTGAGCATAAATTCTAAAAATGACATAAAAAAAAACCTATGCACTCATTTGAGGAAATGCCCAAGTCAAAGTTTGTCATCAAAATGGTTGGGTACAATGACCTCCCAGAACTCACACACAATTGTATTGGAACAACTTTCCAGGAAGTGACGATTTTGTTCTCTTGAGCGCATGAGATTGAAAAGAATGTTTTATGCGATATTCTAATTTTTCGCATAAGTACGCAGCTTTGGATGGAAACAGCTATTAACGAGCGATGATCAGCTCATGAGAAAGTATTTATTTGGTCATTATTTCATTACTTTTATTATACTCCTCGAAAGAAATATAATGGTGGGTACGGCCATGAAAATACAATATCAATTATTTCCCCAAAGTATTCTTCCCAATGTTGAATTCAGTTTAAAACCATTTGCTATAATATTTATTAAAATATTCTGTAATGTTTTAAACTAGTGCTGGGCAAGTTAACGCGTTATTATCGCGTTAACGCATTTATTAATTAATGCCGACAATTCTTTTATCGCGCGTTAACGCAGAGGTTTTTTTTATTATTATTTTGAAAGTCCGTTGCTCACTGCCTCTGAATACACATAGGCCTACAGTCAAACCATGATCACAGGAGGGGTGGGATGTTGGTCAGCCAGCAAATAACCCACCCAAACAAGCAGTGGAGAGAGGTTTTGGCAGGTTCTCTCAGGTGAACAGAAAGGGAGACAGCGCTCCGCGAGTGAATGACAGGCGCTCTTAGTAACCATGGCACCGGCTTCTGTGCGCTACGCAGCTGTAGCCTTTTTAACTTAAATTAAACTTATACATAACTTTACCTGATAGGCCTGCGTTTAGTTTAGCGGGGATGCTCTGCCATGTGAATTCCCTCCTGTTGATGTCCTGATAACTATTTAGATTCTGGAAACTCACAAACAGCGAGCCGAGGATCAGTCTCTCTTCCAATGATTTGTGCTGCGCGTCGTGTACAAAAAAGTTAGACAATTCAACTTCGGCAACGCGCGGGCGCGTGCGTGAGGCGAGCATGACTGCAACAGTTTCACAGGAACGCACCCGCTTGTCGCTGCACCTGTGCTCGACCACTTCACCTCACTCTAGGCTGATTTATACTTCTGCGTCGGACCTACACCGGAGCCTCTCTACGCTATAGACTACGCGTTGGTTTTCATTTATATATCTGCGTCGTTGTCCGCGTTGACGCGCAATTACACATGAGGGAGAGTGTGAAACCCGGGGAGCGGTTCTAGCAATCACAGCGCTTGCGGTACGCGTAGAATTGACGTTACATTTTTGGAGAGATGCACGTCAGGGTACGCGCGCTACACAGCTAGTGAGTTCGATGCAGAAGTATAAATTGGGCTTTACCTCTGTTTAATGTAATCTTACGTGGGAAACCATGGCATGCCATGACCAAACCTAAGCTGCTATCAGAGAAGTAACGTTGGTCGACTTATATCTGTAGTAGTGATCATGACCCTTTGACTACATAGACTGTTTCTGCTGCTCCCTGATACAAGATACCTGTTCAGAAAAAAACCCCAAGAAAACTGGACTCGTTTTAACAAGCTAGATAAAAGGTAATGCCCTGGCAGTGGCAAATAGCTTTGTTTAAATATTTGATTTGATTACATTAATGTTTAGGTTGAGATTTACAAGAAATATTTTATTGATACTGTGTAAAGGGAATACTGCTGGTATAAAAGCACCTTATTTGTTTAAAGTTTTTGCAAACCACATGTTATTGCACTTTTGTAGCAGTACATTTAAATCAAAAGTGAGCAATACACTACTAGAATTCATTATTCAATTTTGCGCGTAACAATGCGATTAATCGCAAGAAAATCATGCGATTAATCGCGATTAAATTTTTTAATCGTTGCCCAGCACTATTTTAAACATTTATTTATTGGACTTTGGCCTCTCATAAAGTAATGCTGCAAGTTTGCAAACTTTCTGTGGTCAATATATTGAATGCATAAGAAGCAGTACCTGTTTTCTGGGTCAGGGACAGTCATACTGCGGGTGACGTAGCACATTTTGAGGGGGATGTATCTGCGGTCGCCCTGTAAGGACAGTGAGGGGCTGGGGATATCGAAGTGAGGACTGCCGAGACGAGGGGACTCAGGAGGCGGGGTCTCCCAGCCAATCTCAGACACCGGTGAGCCTTTTTTCACATATGGCGTTGCTTCCCGCATGTATTTCACTGGAACAAAAAAGAAATGGGTCAGTTGAGGGTCGTGACATTATTACAGTTCACTACTGGGAACTGTTTGCACATTCTCTTCATCTAAGCTTCTTTTATGAAAACAAAAAACAGTATCGATAGACGCACGCACCTAAAGAGATCAACACAAAACACCTATGCAAGTTAATTTTCCATCACATGTGTGAACTGGGCCTTAGCCAGTCAGAAATGAAAGCAGGAAACCCCTACGCAAACCACTTCACTCCCACAGCTGTCCTGAGTGAGGAAATCAATTCACCGCATATTTGCATACTATTCTATTGCATTTCTAGAAGATTGCTGCTGGTTTTATGACAGGGCAATGAACTTGAGGCTGAAGCATCTGCACATGAACGTGCTGATAACCAAATTACAACTGCCATGCTTCTCAGGTGTATGTCACGCTAAGGGCCAATTATTCCCATTCCATATGACAGATTCATCTTTACAGGAAGCAGTTGACCATGTGAGCACAGGGCTATTTCACAATAATATAGGCATTTCACAATTTCACAAATTAGAATGGGCTGTTTGGCTATTTGGCATGACATCAATTTGGTTAGAAAACATAATCATTCTGAATGCCTGAGGGCAACATACAGTTTTATTACATAAATGCTTCTCTCTGCAAAAAAAACTTTTGCACATATATGCTGCAGTGTGCCAAGAAAACAATCCCTAACTGCAGGACCAAGTAATAAAAGATCAACAGAACGATTTATGACGAGAAAACATAAAAAAAATCACTCTGCTAGTAGACACTTTTCAAAAACAGGGTACACTTTAGTGTCCCATTACTTTTTAAATGACTAAAGACACAAACCCTAAAAAACTGTTAATGTTGTAAAATGTATCAATTATGAAACTAAACTTCAGTTGTAAAGGCCCGTTCACACCAGCGGCCTTAAAGCAGCTCTAAAAAAGATAATAGTGTCATTATTCAGCTCAATTTATTTATTCAGTGTTGTTTCAATTCAGTTCAATAACTGCCAATGTTGCAAAGCTCATAATCAAATTATTGCTTTATTGTATTGCATTATTACAGGATTGCAAAAATTGCAAACCTCATATAACACAAATAGGAAAAAAAAAAAACATATAATATTTAGTTTGTACCTCCTTTGGTACCTTTCCCTGACCATTTGTTGGAAACATCAAGTATTGAGTTTGAGTATTAGAGCATTTTTTATTGTCTGGAATGCATCCAATCACTGTTTTGTCTAAAAATGTACCGGTATCCTGAATTTAGGATAAGAAGCTTGTGCTATTGTGTGCTATTGCTCAAGTAACACACACAACACACACACACACACACACACACACACACACACACACACACACACACACACACACACACACATAAGTGAAGAGAAGACAATAACATACATTTTCTATCTGCCTCCAACTATACTCAGTATGCGTTATCATGACCTTTAGTTAGCATGTTAAAACAGGAAACACAACTTACAAAGCTGGTCTCACTAAGGCTAAACGCCTAAACAAAAACCCCTGTCTTTACAACTTCACACTGATAAGATTAAGAACAAAACAAAGCAAGATAACTACCAACATAATCCATATACTCCAGTCCATCTAAATGCGGAGGCACAGTGAGAAGTTCAGAATGCTACTGCCAAAGTCTCACATGTAACTGTGTACTTCACGGTCAAGGATTCTTCCGTCAGCTCTTGCATAAAACATTACAACTCAGAACTTTAGAGTCCACCACACAGCAGGTGGAACTCTATTCACAGGGCTAAAAGCTCCAGTGGTCCTTTATCCTCAAGGACAAGCTAAGAGACTAGCTACAAACACAAACTTATGAAAAGATTTTCTATGTTCTACAAAGGCAAAGGGATAACTTTGTGCTAAAACAGTTAGTTATCATCATTGCTTATTTACTTAATCATGTCACTTCAGTGGCAGACAAAAGATGTTATGCAAATCTCCTTGACGTTTTGTCATAAAAATAACTTTCTGAAAATTCCTTTAAAAAAAAGGTTTTTTTTTCTGCCCAAAAGCTGGTTTGAGCCTGATGGGTAATTTTTTCCCTGTGCTAGGTAGTTTTTGTGTTACCCAGCCGTTGGGTTAGTGGCTGGGTCAGTCTCACTGATAGTAGAAACCAGTGGCGTAGGTTTGATTTTGACATTGGTGGGGACGGGGACATCAATATATAAATATATTTTAAGTTTTGATCGAAATTATTGCTAGGGATATATCAGTGTCACTGGATATTGGTAGGGACACGTCCCTAGCGTCCCTACTAAATTCTACGCCCCTGGTAGAAACACAACTCCACACCCTCCCATAGATATGCAGATGCCTTATTCGCGTGCGCCATCTTGGAACTGTCAGCGTATCATCATTCTCAGTTAGTGATGGGAAGTTTGGGTCATTTTTTTACTGACTCTGATCTTTGAGTCTCCTTCAGCAAAATAAACTAATCTTTTTTCCAAGTCATTTCGTTCACTTCAGCAAAATATAATTGTGACATGTCAATAGCCAAATTCTCCAACACATCAACTTATGCAAACTCTCGAAGAAGAGTTTAATTATCGAAGAAATGGGATAACCTTTCACAGGTGAGAATGTGTTGGTTTGTGTTTATGTATTGTATTGTGGTTATTACTATGGTACTTTTTAATAGGGATGCACCAAAATGAAAATTCTAGTCCAAAACTGGAATTTTTGCTTTTTCATTGGAAATGGATAACAGAGAATTGCTGATTACACTTGAATTAAAATGTTAGCCTACATTAAATTATTATTTCTAAAATTCTGTATTTAGAACCATATTAATCCCAAATAAAATACGTGGTTGTGTAGTGTATTTTACAAAATTCTGCAGGATTGACTGGTAAGTTAAAATATTAACCCATGTACGAGGTAAAAATAAGGTAGTATTACTGTACAAATGACCTACCATAAATCAACCCATTATGCTGAGTTAAATGAACAAACCATGATAGAATAACCCATGGCTGGGTTTGTTCATATTTGACCCAAATTTGGTTACTTTTGACCCCACATTGACTTTATAGCAATAGGCTTCCAAGCAAAATGGAAATTATGAAAATTAGCAATGAGAAATGGTGAAGTGTTTATGGTTGACTGCCTTCAACATGTGCTATGTAATCTATGTTTTATTGAAGAACGGTCCATGACAGATCCATTTTTCTGGAACATTCACACTTGGGAGTGGACGTTAATTGCTCTCTTATGATGTGCACTCAAAAGAGAATGTTAAAAGTACAACAGCTGAGAACACCAACAATGAGAATTTAAATAGGAACCTCAGTTGCATGACCACAGTAAGCACCACTGAAATATCAAAAATCTGTCCATAAATTCAAATGAGTATTTATTCACTTACTCAATTTCAAAACCTGGTAAATGCAGTTACGCCACTGTGAATGAAGCATGAATAATTTTGCTGTCAGGGTGATGCCAAACTCCATTAGAGCCGGGCAATATCTTTTAACAAAGTCTTTTAACAATGTTCAACGATATTCAATATATCCAATACCGTTCAACAGTTTTGGGTCGGTCAGATTTCTGAAAGGGTTAGTTCTGTCATCATTTTCTCACCCTCATGTCGTTTCAAACCCATAAAACTTTTGTTCATTTTCGGAACACAAATAAACAACTTTTTGATGAAATCTGTCCCTCCATTGACAGTCCACGCAACTACCACTTTGATGAATCACTCAACTCATTCATCAACTCACACATCGGTTATGAAAAATTAAAGCTCAAGCATGTTCGCTTGACGTGCGAGAAACAATGAGGTTCATTCTCGTGTTATGCAGCACGTTTGAGCTTCTGCAAAAAACAATGAGGTTTGTTCTCGTGAGTCAAACAAGTTTATGTTCGCTGATCAATGTTTATATGCAGAAAAGGCTAAATTCAAACTGTTCATCATATAAAGCAATCGTGTCTCTTCAGAAACTTTGGACTAAACAGCTCAATTCATGAGGATTAGTTTTACAATCTCTTTATTAACTTTTTGAAGCGCTAAAGTGGTAGTTGCATAGCCGTCTAAATCTCAGATGTTATTAAAAATATCTTCCTTTGTGTTCCGATTCCGAAGATAGACAAATTTCTTACGGGTTGTATGGGACGACATGAGGGTGAGTAAATGATGAAAGAAATTGTATTTTTGGTTCAACTAATGTTTTTGAAAGAAGTCGCATATGCTCACCAAGGCTGCATTTATTTGATCACAAATACAGTAATATTGTGAAATATTATTATCATTTAAAATAACTGTTTTCTATTTTAATATTTTAAAAATGTAATTTATTTTTGTGAGGGCAAGGCTGAATTTTCAGCATCCATTACTGCAGTTTTCAGTGTCATATGATCCTTCAGAAATCATTCTAATATGATTATTTGGTGATTAAAGTTGGCATGAATCAGAAGTTTTGATAGTCTTTTCTTCCCTATTGTAACATATATCCAAGTAAAATTGCAATAAATGTGGATGGATCACTTGCTATGAAGTCATGTGACTGACAGGTTGTCCCGCCTTCATGCCAGTGCAAAATGGCATGTCATCAGAGGAGAGGAGAGGAGAGGAGAGGAGAGGAGAGGAGAGGAGAGGAGAGGAGAGGAGGGGAAGTTTTCTTGATTAACGATTACGAGGGCACATGAAATAAAAATAATAATGATGTGCACGGATAAATCTTTTATAATAAATACTGCAATAGTCCATAAAAAAATGATTTTTCCATTTTGATTTCATGTTGACTTTAAGAAACATTTCTTATCATTAACAATAATACTTAACCGAAACAGTAAGATATTTTTATATTTTTTTGAACAGCATGTCAGTATGTAAAAGGGTTTCAATCACTATATAACCATTAAGCCCAAGTCATTTAATTTTTAAATTATATTCTATACAAATACCCAACAACATACCAATAAACAGCAATGTTCACTATACATATATTAAAAAAATACATGAAGAGACTTCT